CTGCCTCAATTTTTATGTCTTAATAACTAAAGTTACATCAGATATGCATTATATTTTAAACAATAATAGCAATCAACTGTGAGTTCTTTGTACATGTCAAGCACTGTGTTAAGTTTTTTTACATGTATGATCTTATTTAACCTTTTTAACAGCCCAACATGGTGGGTTTTATTTCCCCACTTTAAAGAAGAGAAACTGGTTAATAGAACTAAGAAGTGGTAGAGACATGAAACAAGCTTAGGTAATGGGTACAGAACCTGTGTTTTGACCAATATGCTACACTGATTAAACATATCTAAAGGTTAGTACACTGAACATCTAAAACTTATTATATGTAACTTTTACTTTTTTTTACAAAATGTAAACCATCATAATGTTATTCTGTAGAATATTCCCAATATATGAGCTATCTTCCTTCCTGTTCTTTATCCTCACTGAGTGTAAAAGAAAGGCCACATTCCTTTTCATTGTCCATTAAATGCACTACATATAAAGGAACAACAATAAAAACACTCTGACACCAATATAAAAATTGAGAAATGGGTCCATGAAACAGGGCAGCCCCAAAAGTGTCTGTGTGTATGTGGTTTGCGTGTAAACAATTTAGTCATTTTGTATATGAAAAGGTAGCACTACAATCAGTGGAGAAGATAATGTTACTAGAAAAATTCAGTAAGTGAGAAGAAAAATGAATGTTTAAGTATTCCTTTCATTTCTCACATCAAAATAAATTCCTGACAGATTTAAGAGTTAAACTTTTAAAACACTTGAAACTATAAAAAATAGTTGAGGAAAATGAAAGTAATTATGTACTAAATTTGGAGAAGAAGAGAGATTTCAAGCGTAAAACCATATAAATAAAAGAAATAAAATTTCACTTTACACAAATTCAAAACATAAAGAAGTTGTTAAAAGTAAAAGGCAAATGATAATATAGGAGAAATATTTGCACCAGATGACAAATGACATATCTTTTACATACAAGAGTACCTACTGTCAAATGGAAAAAATTCAACAGGAAAATGGTAATGCATGTCATGAGGCAATTAATCAAAAAAGGACTGCAAATGGTCAGTAAATAAGAGTATATAAAAAATAACCAACTCGGGCCGGCCCAGTGGCGCACTGGATAAGTGCGCCGCTTGGGAAGGCGGCGCTCCCGCCCGAGGGTTCGGATCCCACATACAGACCGGTTCCCACTCACTGGCTGAGCGAGGCGCGGGAGCAACACCGAGGCTTGCGGTCCCGTTGCCGGTCCCCCGGCCGGCACCGGGGCCACACCGCGGGGTGCGAGCCGCTGCCCGACGCGGCGAAGCACACACAG